TGATGGATAATTTTAAACATTCACTGCTTCATTTCCAATATTATGTTATTTTATCCAAAATTCTAGTCATATTTACTATAAACTGTTTTGTGAGGTGGACAGACTCCTTGTATATAATGTTGTTTCCACACGTATCTATATTTACTCCTTTATTCCCGCATGGTCTTTTTGGTCAATACCCTGCTGCCCTCCCTTTCTGAAAACATCAAAGACTATCGATGCCCTAAGCACCTCTTCATCGTCCCGACCCTTGAGTAACGGCTCTGCCCTGAGCACTCTCTCACAATTCCTTGCTCCCTACCCAGGAGGACCTACCCATGAGCTGCAGCTCTCTACAATCTCTTGAGAAAATAGTTACACTGTAAGCACCCAACAATGTATTTTCTCCTATCTCAAGAGAAGCAGGTCATACCCCGAGCAGCTTCCTGCCATCCCTTCTTGGAAACTTAGCTGTAGCCTGACATCCCATCTGGCCCCCAAATGATTCATGCCATTCACCCGCTGGCTGGCTGAGGGAAACGCTAGCTTCTTAACCCCACAGTCACCTTCAAGACAACACATAAGTAACTACATCCTGGGTACAGGTATACAGTACAAGGAAGTAGGCTACTGAGAAAGCTGAAGGGTAAGAAACAGAGAATCAAGGATCAAGGCATGTTATAGGATTAGATATGCCACTTAAATGTGCCACCATTCATTTCATCATCATCATCAGTATGTATCAAGGTATTTAATGCAATTTTGATTGGAATGGGGATTGATATTTGATTGGTAAATTGATGTATTGCATTCCCCCTCTATGGGTTTAGGTAATTTTTCATCATATGGTGTCATGAAACCTTTAAAAAACTATATTATAATATATATTTTATAATAATGCCTGATGAAATGTGTTAAAGGAAGCTTCTTTTAGTTCATAAAATGTTTAGATTTCCCCAAACCATGACTATTATATGTGCTTTTCTGTTTTCCTTTATAGCTATTATGTGCATAATGTATGTGGGAGCTAGTGTAGAAATTCTCAATTCTATATAGTATTCTCCAACTACTCTGCTTGGAAATACAATATAATATAATTTCTTAGTAGATAAAAAAATCAACATCCTGTCAAATGTCTTTTTTTCCTCAATTTTACAGTTTGATAAACTGTAGCAACAATGTAGCAATAGCCTCTTTCCTGCTGCTGCTCTTCACTGATTGCATTTCTATACTTACAGAAGCCCTTCTGCATTTATGCTGCATAAATGTTATAGCCCTTAATGAACTGTTAGTACCATGTGAAAGGGCTACTAGGCGATAGCATAGGTCAACCATGTTCAGGGCCGCTTAACATCAAATACAGGCCTCTGGGACACATATACGTTACACACACCACACATGATGACAGCAAGCAATACAAAATACCTTCGAGTATAATAACCCTGATCCTATTTCTGAGGTAACATATGTTCTGTGGAGAAACCACACAGCACACAAGGGGACCAACACAACATAAACATAGAAACACCTGTGATCACTAATGCAAATAGCACCTAATACCATTACTCAGTTTCCACTTAGTGAATGTTCCAGTGAGAGATAAAAATAATTAATTATAACTATTATAATAATTAAAAGTAGGGATGAGAGAACAGGATCACCCGATTTATCCAAACAGAGTAGTGATAAATACACAATGCCTTCTTGTGTAGCCAATAAATGCCAAAATAATTAATGGTTCACACACATTTGAGATTTTAGTGCTTTGTCCAGCCGACAGAGCATTGCATTTACATACATTCTGAATTGCTTCCTAGAGTCAAATTTTGTTTTTTCATAAAATTTTTATTTATTTATCTTATTTTTATGATTATTATTTCACCCATTGACTGGACATATCAACAAGGAGGAACTTCAATGTTGCTCTGTGATCCAGAATAATGTTTGCATTGAAAGTCCTAAATTAAAATACAAAAATACACTGGCAAAAATGTAATATGAGGATTTAAATGAGCTGTATCATTTAAATTATAACTCAGCCTATATGAAAATCAGAAGGTACATTTTGATGCACTATTTATTGCTTTTCCTATTATGTAACATTAAGATAATGATGTGCAAAATGTTCTTTCCACTCAGTGTCAGAGATAGTGCTGCACATACAGTCGCACTGGTGAAATGGTTCAAGAAATCAGATTACCAGCGACAGAAAGCATGTTAATAATTAAAATATCCCTGTTTATATATCATATGTTTAATTACTTTAATTTTAGTTTTATTGCAAGTCTGCAGGCTGCGATTCTGGGTTAGTGTTTAGTGCACTGATAAAATGTAATGTTGGGTGCATCTAATCAGGATGCTCATGAGAATGGGAAAATGAAATTATAATTTTATGTCTGTTATGATTATTTTATTGCTAGTTTAAATTCAGTTTCATTTCAGTATTGCTGTAACACCTCAGGCATGGTTTCGCACTGAGCAATAGGCACCGCATCCTCAAACTGACTCAGTGTTCATCAGTGCTTTTATTCTGTTCCATCCTCTTTGGTGTGCTCTTTATTCACTCTATTCAACTCTGAGAAGATTCTCTGAATTTATCCAGTTTACTCTTTATCCGTTGTCTTGTTGCACCACCAGGTGACCTAGAAGTGGTGCTATTGGATGAGAAGACCAGGGAACACAATCTTCTGTGACTATCAGCCTATTAGGTTACAGGTTTCCTCTGATGTCACACAGGTGACACTACATGAATACTGAACAATGATCCCTACATCAGGGCAGGTGGATGATTTCAACACTGTTATAAATATTCAATATACAGATGAAGCCATTAGAGAGGGCTGTTTTTTGTAGGCCAGCTGTTCAGGATGAGTATCGAGAGCCAGAACTACACCAGTAGATTTTGCTACGTGAGTGTGCATCTCTGTGAGAGAGTAAGTTAGAGTATAGAGCAAAAGAGAGAGAGAACAAGACTAGCGTTACCTCGCCCCTGCAGCTAGTCCAAGTCGCAGTGAGTCAGGGCATGCAGACTTTGTAATGCAAAACAAAAAGTTAGCCACGGCACCGCATCCAACCTGAAGAAACACATGCTCAAACATAAAATATATCTAAAAGCTTAAGAGTGTAAACGTTACTGTGTTGGATAGCCTAAAAGCAATGTCCCCCGCAGAAGTTCCAGCTAATGTTAGCAGCCAGCCAGGGCCGAAGTTGATGTATGACAAAACTTTAAGGTCAGGCATGAACAACAACTTTATCTTGAAGTAATTAATTAGGAAGATGGATAAGTTGTTGCTGGAGATAACTGGGTGTTTTTCAATCATTAGACATTAGCTTTAAGCATTTTTACTAGTGTTAACCACAGGACTGTCAACTCACGCACATTTCAGAGGCTGTCATGCCACACGTCTATTTTTTTGTGTAGTGAGAAACAGTAGAAAGACAGACGGACGAGAATCAGTGTCTCTACCTCTCTTCTCACACCGTGTGCAGGCAGGAGTGTCTCTGTCACTCTGAAAATTTCTCATGATTCCCAATAAGAGTTTATTATTAGGTTAATATGCCTATGCAAAATCCTGAATGTCATTGGGAAGATCTCCACATACCCTGGTTAGGTTTTGTCACCTGATTTAGGCTATGATGTCTGGCGTCTTCACTATTGTGCTGATCAACTTGAAATTATTTGACATTATGATTGTTAAAATGTATGTTAGTATGAAACCAACAGTATGAGAAGTGCACACAATTGAAGGGGAAATATTACACTATGCAAGCACTGCGGTAGCCAATTGGTGCTTGGACTGAAATTACAATTTTTGTTATTACAGAGTAGTAAAATACCGGTATTGGGTAATGGTAACGGTATTGGCTCAAATGTGAACGGTACCCAACCCTATTCCTGACTGGTCAGTACTGTACAGTATCTGTATTTATGTAACGTTACATAAATAGGGCAAAATGTCGAAAAGTGTGGCATTTAATGAAAATGCAACTTAATGCAACAACTCAGAAAACCATTTAAAAAGTTATAATAAAATAGCTGTTGAATCTTTTCACATTTTTTTATATCATGTCTTTATTATGGCGAGTAGTATCAATAAGAGTACTGATAAGTATCGGTATCGATAAGCAGTATCAGTATTGATATCTGTATCAATAAAATCCTACTGATACCCATCCAAAACACAGCTGGGGATAAAGCAACTACTCTTATTCAATATGTAGATAGTAAAGGTTTGGCCATTTAAACAATAGATGCCTATATAAATATTTGAATAACCCAAAAAGCTAGGAAGTGATGAGAAAATGCATATGAGGGGATTCTGTGGTACCACATGTTGTGCTTTTCACATAATCTATTAAATATCCCCTTCATGAAGAAAAATTGTGTTCTAATGTGAAAAATAGTGTTATAATATAACAAAAAACATTTATTTATTTACTATTATAATTTACTATTATAATTGTGTTTTTTGCTTTCTCATTCCACTCATGCCCAGTCCATATTCTCAGATGCCACAGCACATCCCACGTGGCCAAAACCTCTACCGTGTTGCCCCAGAGACCTGCTCCTTAATAAGGCTAAGGCTGATTGGCTGATGGGATGGGAGAATGACAAGGGAAGGTGGGGGGCTTGTATGGGGAGGGGGAGTGGCGGGGCTAAACTGTCCAGAGAGATTTCTATGCATACTAAACAGGACTAACGCTAGCTGAATTTTCATCAGTCCCTTCAAACAGGACTCCCTCCTCTGTCTGCTGTTCTGACGCTGTGCTTTTGCATTTCTCCAGATGCTTACAAGGTGCATGTCTGTGTTTTACCAATGATTTTATATCAAAGAAAGCAGGTGTAATAAGTCAATAATGATCTACATGAAAATCTACCATCAATCTTATCATCGGCTCAACATACAGTAGCAGAGCACATTCCTTAAGACGACATCCTTCATGCGATACACACCAGTGAACACATATTCACACACACTACCAACCACATAAACCATAAAAAGAAAAGCACAGGGACTCACCTTCTGTGGGTGAGGTTTTCAGTCGTTTGCACAGTCCCTCTGTGCCCCCGTAGTCCTCCTGGAGCTTGACCACCGCCTCTGTGCCACGCAGCTCCATGAGCGAGCGCAGCTCCATGACCGAGCAGCCGAAGCCTGCCGCATGGTTGTCCTCGTTTCTTTGGTTCTTGGCATAAAAATCGCTGTTGGACATGTCCCCCATGATGTCAGCTTGTCAAGTCAGTTAGATTAGTGTTTGTTATTGCTTATAGATCAATCAAATAGCTTGCACAAGTGATGAGCTCAGTCTCATCCAAAAAAATTCCAAAATAGGTATCAAGCAGGCAACAACAACCAAAAAGGGAAAAAAGAATGCCACTTGCAGGCAAAGTAGGCAGATAGAGAGAGTAAAAAGGGGGAAAAATCCGAGGAGATAAATCAACGAGCGGCTTCGCTGTTTTAGGAGAGACTGTCAGATATCAGTAGACCAAAAACCATCAAAGAGAAGAAACAGAAGAAGAGAAAGAACAGCAGAGAACAAGGAGAGGAAGGGAAACACAAGTGATGAGCATCCAGGTGAACGTTGGACAGCCCCAGTGGTCAGGTCCTGAGAAGGGCAATGATGGTAGTTGCAAGTCCTGTAGGTCTCAGGCTCACCACGGCTGCAGTCCAGACCCGCTCCATGTGTGGCTTCCCATTGCTGCTATTCTGCTGTTGCCTCCGCTGCCTCTCTGTCTCTACATGGTGGTCTTCCCCATCACTGCCACAGAGAGAGAGAGAGAGAGAGAGCGAGAGAGAGAGAGAGGGAGGGAGAGGGAGAGACGAATCCGAGAGATGAATTCAAAGAGGACAGAAGGTGAGGGAGGAGGAGGGAGAGACACAGAAAGAGAGCACAAGAATGAGCGTTGCGTTCTCAGGGCAGGGGTGAATGCAGCGGTAGATGTTGCAGGGCTGAAGGACAGCCTCTCCTGGCTGCTGCAGTAACTGTGGCTTTGCTGTCTCTATCCACTGCTGCTGCTGCTAACCTCATTCTGAGGACACGCCGACTGATAGAGAAAGAGAGAAAGAGAGAGAGAGAGAGAGAGAGAGAGAGAGGGAGAGAGGGAGAGAGAGAGAGAGAGAGG